GACAATCCGCTTGATCTCGTCGCTGCGCTTTTCGTAGTTGCCACGCACAGGCGCCACCTTAGCCCGCTTGTTCTTGTTCTTCGGAGTCGGCGCGGGCTCGGGGACGGGAAGCGGTTCGCCGGTCAAACAGCGCAGCAGCGACGCGAGGGAAGGCTTGGCATTGCTGGGCCTGCCAACTGGCTGGTGTCCAGGAGCCGTGGCCTGCTCAATGATGGCCTTGCCGGCCTCAGCGTCCGCTTCAGCAAGCTTTGCAATCCTCTCATCGGCATGTGCCTTCTCGCGCTCAGTCCTTGCAGCCTCAACCTCCGGCGCCACTCGAACGCTGGTAATGCCTGCCCTGAGCTCAATGGGAGCATTGGTGTCGAGCTTGGGTAAAAGGCTAGTAAGCTTAAGCTGTTTAGGCGCCATTCTGAGCGCGCTTTCTGAGGGTGGGCCTGTAAGCTAAAGTTCTTGTCCGATCAACTTAGGGGTAAAAGACGAAGATAACTACAAGCCAACAGCGTCTTCTGGAGGGCCTTAACTGTTGGTCGATACCGTTAACACGGTGTACGACACATTTGTGACAGCCAGTTTGGTGATGCCCATAAAATTTTGCCTAAGACCTTTTTCCACTGCTATGCATTTGGGGACGCCATACCAATTGCGTGTCACCAAAGAATCGTATCAGTACGGTACTTTTGTAACTGCCTTATGCTCGGCCACCTTTTCAAGCTGCACATCTTCCGGACATCTGCGCTTTGCATTTTACCATTTTTTCACAAATATGCAATAATACCGCACCAAGGCCAGGATCACAGCGCGTCGATTTACGACGCCCTTGCCGGATTGCGCAAAGAGTAATTGTGTATCAGTCCGAGCATGCTCGTCCATTTCATCCAATATGTAGGTTCTTGCCCACCTTTTAGGTGGGCAAGCCATTGCTTAAACGTCATCGCGTGATCCGTACTCACTACTAACTTATTGTGGGGAAGGCCATTGCGTCTGCGACCACACTCCCGCGGTACCCAAACCCTTCAAAGACAATTCCGATCAGCCATTTGGCTGTTAGTGGGAGGGCGGGTGGGCCGCTCGCACGGCAATCGAGTAGAGAGTACGAAAATAACCTAATGCAGTCATCGACAGCAGAAAACGTAAGCCTCCAGCCTCATGCCGACTCTCTTACCTACCATTCATATTCTCTACCTCGTTCCCAAGACTCCGCCGCGTTGCCTCTAGTTCGGCTCGTGCCACAGGTAACTTCGCTCGTCGCTACTTTGCCATTCACCTTCGCCTCCACCCAGCCTCTGCTTCTCCACAGAAGCGGCGACCTCCTTCGCCGTTGTTACGCCTCGTCTATGCGAATCCTCCTCATCCGACTGTGTCTTCTGCCTACCCGGTGCGCGCCCCCTCTCTCTGCGCATCCTTTTCTCTGGCCCTCTCTTACGGTTGCCTACCTTACTGCAGGACTCGCCCCTTGCCTGTCCGGTGCCGGGCAGGCTTTCCTTGCCTTCCCCGGCCCTACTTGGGGCGCCCCTCCTCGGCTCGTCAACTACCTTACTTCCGTCCGTTCCTGCCCCTCGGGGGCCCAACCCCTCCGCCCTTTCCGTGGGCCCGACGCCCGCTCTGGACTTTCTCACGCCCCCGGCCTCTCCGATGCTGCCCCCCCGGTAGGCTTGCCCGCG